CAGCTAAGCCGCTTGCAGCCGATTGGTCTAAGAGTGCTGATATGAATAATTAACTATGTCCATATTTGATTGATTCGCTTGTGCGTGACAGACAAAGAAAAGAAGTGTCATATTTCATGCAATGCTAAGTATCCCGCGCCATTCCTTGGAGATCGTGAAAGGTCTTTGTGTTTACGGTTTTTTCCGTCGTCGCTGTGCTATTTTTGAGGAAGAACTGATTGGAGTTGTGTTACAAAGGCTTACTTTTGCACACAGCTGATAGAGAAAGTTTAACAGGACAAAGCGGAGTTTCTCGTACGCGATTTTGGCGTTAAAGTTGGGACAACTAATTTGTCATGGCGACAGAGTACCAGTTCCAAAGGACAAGACCTCGGGTTCCCATCAGTGCCATGTTTAGCGGCCCTGGCGCGGCAAGATATTTCTTGCCAAACTGCACAGGTTTTGTTGGTCACGATTTCTCGAAACTTAAAGCTCCCGCTTATTCCTTTGGTACGAAGAACAAAGACAATTTAAGGGCATCCACAACACCCGGACCTGCCGCATACTCTTTGGAGAAGGGTTTAACTCGGAACGGTACAGATGGCTCTGAGAAGTACAGTTTATCGGGACGCACTAAATTAGGCGGATCTTTCCAAACGCCGGCGCCTTGTAAGTACATTTTATGCTTTTATCGTAGTTGATGCTTTTAGCTGTGTAAATTTTGCCGGGTATAGTGTAATTTGTGTATATTTTAGGACAATAGTAATCTCCAGTTCAGTATAATATCAATCGCGTCCTTGGATACCACACGTGTATCTGAAAAATACCGTAACATTTATGTTACAAAGTAACTTCCGTGAAAACATGCGTTTGATTGTAATTATAACCTGTCAACAGATTTAACCGTCTTTACATGAAGGGAAAGCACCCGAATATGTTGCCTGGTCTTACTCACTGAGTTTTCTTCCCCTATTGAAAAAAGAGTGTTAGGCAGTCTATAAAAATTGTAATGTTATAATAATCAACGAGAATAGCCACAACAAGAATATCAAAACAGCAATAGGTTTATGAGCAAATAGTTCTGAACATACATCACATTTTTTAATTCTTAGCCTGTCACTGTTTGTAATGGCATGAAATGTTTGACTGTAGTCTCTTGTTGAAAAGACATAAACGCAGTATTCTATGATATGTTTGTGTGCATCCGTTGCATGATACAGTCTTACCTCTCCATACGGACACCTCTGTAACACAGATACCTCTCTATTACGGACAGTTCGTTTGGTCCCAGAAATGCCAAAAATCATACATTACCTACCTCTATAATACGGACACCTCTGTAGAGCGGACACTTGGTTCTGTCCATTTGGTGTTCGTATTAAAGAGGTTTGACTGTATATGATTCAAGGAAAGTACATGTTGTCTAGGCATCCAGAATACTCTCTTCTGGTCTCAGGTATTTGCTGATTGATTGATTACTGACTGGTAATCAAAAATCGTAAGAAAATAAATTGTTCTAAAGATAAACTGATCTGAGAAAATGTTTAATGGGCTTGAGTTAGTTGGTCTGTCTGGATTATGAGCTCTTGGTATAATAATATTACACTATTGCAATGCACTGACCGCATTGTGATGTTGAAGCTCTTCAACATCGTACAATAGTATAGGAAATCTGTCTTTTTCTTTTTAAAGTTTCCTTTTTAACAATCCTTTCACTTTTCAAGGGGATTATGGGCCAGAGAAAAAGCCTGTTATGAAGCATCGCTTTCCCCCTTCCTATTCCTTTGGATCTCGTACACCATACAACAAGAAGGACAATTTTCCTGGCCCTGATACTTACACTATGCCACCAGTGCTGGGATCTAAGTCAGTTGGAAAGACCTCTGCACCTTGTTATTCAATGACAGGAAGGTCAAAGATTGGAAGTTTTCACGAGGATTTACAGAAGGTTTGTTAGATTTATTAACAGCGAATAAGCCAGTTTCAAATTATTTTTAAGCTTATACTTGACTCCAAGGCAGCGAGGTGCGCAACAAAAGAAATCACTCTGAGATTCAGGGTTTAATAACAATATTCATTTCTTTTTTACTTTACTTCCCTAACATGTTGACCTTTAAAATGCACACCTTTGTTGTTTGATTTTCTCCTAGACCCCTGGTGCAGGCACATACAAGGTCGTTGATCCAAATGTCTACAAGAACAGGAAACCCATCTATTCCATGAATGCACGTAACTTTGCTCCAGGAGACAACACAAGAAAACCAGGGCCTGGGGCTTATTCTCCAGAAAAGGTAAATAAATGTTGATTCCTGGAACTCAATCTATTTGTGGACAATCAATCAAAGTCATCTGATCATAATGCAATTCATTTGTAAATAATCAATCATTGATTTCATCCAAACACAATGCATTCCGGAATTGCCAATTCTCTATTTTCCAATTGCCCATAATACACTCTGTTTGCCCCCCAAATTCTGCATAAACCATTGTTTTTAAATGCTCCTGGGAGTATTGCATTTTCCCAAGAGCATTTTAAGACAATAAGTTATGC